CAGAGGTCCGCTCCGGTCCCGTTTTCCGGTGGTCCGAACCGGCGAGAACCGGTGCCCCACATTGGGCGCTAAATGATGTGGAATCAATCAATTAATTGATTATCTTGCGTATCTGCCCCCGGCCAAATTAAAAGAAGTAATGCGTGCACGCTCCTAAAGTAATTCACACCAGACACAGGTTTTGGGTTAATAAAATACTTGAGGAATGTTTATTCTGGGGGGATGGCATGCCCCTTATAAAGCAAAATTACATCATATGCATTGTCAGAGATAACATGGAATAATACATCAATAATTGGTTAGGTGTTAAGTGGTTCATTTAGTGCTCTTCCTACCAGGCGTGATGTCACTGGTATCTTGGAGGTCTCCCCCAGATTCGAGCGCCATCTTGTTAATGAGGGTGTTAGTCGATGTCAAAGGGAAACTCCCTAGCGGCCATTTTAGGTAAATCACATATAAGGTTGAATAATGCTGATTGTGGTTATGCTGAGTAAATAGGCATTTTATTAAAATGAGTTGGGTTAATATTTTGTCCACAACACATTCCCTAAAAGAATATCCTTGTAAGAGGGTTATAATTTCTTACATGGGTGCCAGGTCCCTCTAGTTTTAAGAGAGAAAAATCAAGATAGGATCAGCGCTAGTAATACCACTAGTATAAATAAATAGTATAAATAAATAAAATAATAGTATAAAGGCAGCACACCTAAAAGGGGAAATACCCTTCTATCCCCTGCAATAGATTAGAACATAAAATACAAGAAAGAAAGGGCGCGCCTATTATGTTGTATATATCACAAAGAGTACACACTGTAAAATTATAATAAAAAAGACAGTAAAAGATAAATAATATAATTTATGAGAATATAAAATAAGTATAATAGAATATGTATAATATATTGAAAATATTAAAATATTAAGAAAATATAAAAATTACAAGTCCAAGATAAAAAATCCACAATGAACGGAGATTCCTAATGGAAACTTGAGTTTTCAGTCAGCCATATGTGGAAAGAAAAGGAGAGAGGATCTGATAGTGCAATACGTCAGTTTATATGGAGATATGTGTATAAAATCATATAATGTACTCACAATTTCTAGAGCTAAAATCCAGCTCTGGTATAAAGCGCGTGAAGTGGATTGATCCCCACTCAAGGATATATGGAGTAATGATTCACCAGGAGTTCTGACCGAAAATTAAAAAAGAATAAAACATATAGTGCTCACTGAATAACTGGAATATGGTAAATAAAGAGTATGAAATGTACTTACAATATACTGAGCAGAAATCACTGCTCAGATAATAGCGTATGGGTGGTTTAATCCCCACCTAGGGATTCTTTGGCGTTCCTTGAAAGCGATGTAAATCCAAACAGTCAGGTTGTAAATGGTAAACTTAGAATAAAAATAAATATAATCACAGTGAGAAGACGCTGACATCCATAGGAAAGCATTAAGTAATGCTTTCCTATGGGCTGTGTGAATGCGTGCGCGGCTCTTGCTGCACATGTGCATTCGTCGACGTCGGCAGCAGGAGGAGAGGTCAACAGCGCCGGGGGAGCCCGGCGCTGGAGAAAGGTAAGTGGCTGAAGGGGTTTAAAACCCAATTGTGGAGGTTTGTGTGCAAAAAAGATGGAGGTGTTTAATAATAATGACAGATTGTGAGTGCAGTATTTCTGCAAAAATGGCACCAGTCTCTATAGAGCACATGGTGGATGCATAGGGACATGTACTACATGTAACTATTATGACCCATTCCTTAAAACGTACAGAGGTTATTGCAATGAGAAAACAATTGGGATGTATAAGCTTATAGATGTAATGTTAAATATTGATCAATTTGAAAAAATACACAGAAACGTAAATTAATTGGATATTTTTGATGTGATAATTGCTAGTACAGACCAGTCACTAAGAGCAAGTCGGCCACATGAGATATTTATAGAACCTAGAACCAAGCAACAACTTATCAAAGAGTTATTAAACGTTCTTGGTCTTGAGGAAATAAATCATCTTGCTTTCGGTAATTGTGCTCAGAAGAGAGGGAAGTCTGTTCAAGGGTTTGTAATTAGGTTAATTGTTTTTTTCAAACTGACGGTTCCACCTGGAGCACATGCTGATCAGAATGAATATGCATATAAGAAAGCATTACTTAATAGGACACTGCCAGATATTCGAGAGTTAATTGGTTTAACTGTCTCCCCACAAGACACCTTTGTAATTATACTGAATTGCTTAAAGAGGGCTGAAGCAATTCTACTACATCAAGAAAAATAAAATAAAAGACAAGTGTCATTGTTACAAAGTCCCCAACCTCACAGATATATCAATCAAAGAAAGCCCCCACATATAAAAACCATAAAATGTTTAAGGTGTGGTAGGATGGGACATATCTCTCTCTCTCCTCTCTCTCTCTCTCTGCTGAATTCATACACACACACACTCTGCTGAATTCATACACACACACACACACACTCTGCTGAATTCATACACACACACAGATAGATGGACTCAAATAAAAATGCACCTAAATGCATCTAATCACCCTAGGTGGAGATCACAGAGAAGAGATAATAACTGTAAACCCCCCTGAGAACCTTGGATTTACTACCATGTACTTAAAGCACAGAATATACAACTAAAGACCGAAAATATTTCTCTAACCTGTAAACCACATGAGTTCTTTGAAAAACTGGATTGTTTCAAGGCACAATTAAGTAGGTTAGAAGCAGTGGCATACACACAACCCATGGGGCCCCGGTGCGAAACGGATCCATGGGGCTCCCCCCGACAGACACTCACACATACATACAGAGACACACACAGACCGATAAATACAGACACATACATACACACACGACACATGCATACAAACAGACAGGCACACATACATACAGACAGACCATTTAGGGTGTTAGAGAAGTGCATAACTTTGCATTTCTCTACGTTAAATTCCATCTGCCATTTTAGTGCCCAATCTTTCCAAATCCCTCTGCAGCAAAGCAATACCCTGCTCACATTTTATTACTTTACAGAGTTTTGTGTCATCTGCAAACACCGAAACATGGCTTTCAATGCCCATTTCATGATCATTTATAAATATGTTAAAAAGAAGCGGTCCTATGTTTGTATCGGGGAGCCCGAACTGAAAAAGCAAGAACGGCATCCACAGCCCCCTTAAAAGAGAGAGGGGGCTGTACCTGGACCACTCGAGGGCGACGAGAGACCATGGGCACCCCAGGGGGGGGCTCTGTGGAGGGGCCCGGAGAGGCGCTGTAACCCTAGACGAGGGTACTCCGTGATGACCATATTACCCACCTCTACCCCACCCTCCAACCCTAATACCACCTAACCCCTACATTTCTTTCTTCTAACTACTGCTAACTACACTTACTCCCCCACATAGAAAACTCTGCCCTTCTCTGGTACTCGCAGGGGGCTGTATAGACAAAGCGGGTCACTCCCGGAACGACCGAGTAACCAGCACGGATGCCAGCCCGAACATAGTGCGACCAAAAAAAACAAACCTTGGCGGACCCGGACCCAAGAATGAGAGAAGGTGGGCAGCACACGGGAGGCATACAGGTACAGAGGCTTCCTAACCCAAACACTGCTACTAACCGATATCGACATGGACATTATAGAGCCCCACGCTCGACATAAGATAAGAAAACCAGTACACAAGAGATCAACACAAGCAGGGAAAGATAAAATGTGGTGAATCCAAGATTACTCCATAGTGGACACCAGAACGTAATAGGGTCCCCAAAGGATGAGTAGCCCCTACCACTTAGACATACATATGGGAAGCCACTCTGGTTATTGAACACACGATTTTATGCTATATACCCTGATATTTCACATAAACCTCAGAAGGGAAACAGCCAACTCCAAGTGCGAAAGATGTCACATGGTTTAATGTGGAAAGAACCAAGTAGAAAGTTGCAACCATTGTTACTCAACAACAATATCTGAATGTAATTGCTTTTTATTTCACTAGAATTGACTAGCGTTAGACTTACTATAACTTTAAAACCAACAATCGCTTTCAAAAGTCGATATAGATGGACATTTTTACGCAACCACACAGATATGAGCTATAACTCTGTACGTATATACGCAGACGTGAATGTTACAAACCAAATTGTTATTGCTTCTCTGTATTTTCACCTACAAAAAAACAATAAAAAGAAAGATTGACAAAAAAAAAAAAAAGAAGCGGTCCTAAAACAACCCTGAGGGACACCACTTATCACTTTTGTCCAGCCTGAAAATTTACCATTAAGGACAACTCGTTGTACTCTATCCTTAAGCCAATGTTCTACCCAAAACCAAGAATAATCATCTAGACCAATTTCTTTTAGTTTGAATACTAACCTATTGTGAGGAAGTGTATCAAATGCCTTTTTCAAAATCCAAGTAGATCACATCCACTGCAACACCCTGATCTATACTTCTACTTACTTCTTCGTGGAATGCAATTAGGTTAGTTTGACATGACCTATGTTTCATAAAACCATGCTGATTATTGCGAATAACACAGTTCTTCCCAATGAATTCCTAAATATTATCCTTTAATAGCCCTTCAAATCTTTTCCCAGTCACAGAAGTTAAGCTAACAAGTCTATAATTTCCAGGTAAAGATTTTGAAACCTTTTTAAATATAGGAACAAAATCTGCCTTCCTCCAATCCTCCAGTACAATACCTGAAACAAAAGAATCTTGAAATATTAAATACAGTGGTTCACTTATTTCCCTACTTAACTCCTTAAGTACTCGTGGGTGAATGCCGTCAGACCCCAGAGCTTTATTTACATTAATTTTCTCTAACAGCTGTAGCACCTTGTCTCGATTTATCCAATCACAAGTTATCTGCAAGTTTTTTGCAGCAATCATTTGCATACCGCTTGCCATAGGATCCTCATTAATATATACTGAAGAAAAATAGTTATTTAAAATTGCTACCTTTTCCTGGTCTTCATTAACTAACAGGCCAATCTCTGTTTCCAGTGTACCTACACTTTCATTTTTTATTTATTTTTTAGAATTGATGTACTTGAAAAAAAAATTGGTTTTGCATTCTTTGGCTATCAATTTCTCATTTTCTAGTTTAGCCACTGTAACGGCACCCTCAGCATAAAAGGGTTAAACCACCGTTTAGTAGATCTTCCCTTCCAGAGAAACAGGCACAGCTACTGTAGAACATCAATCCGCCAAAAAGGAAACCATACGAATGCTGTAAACAGCCGAAGAGGAAAAACCATACGAATAGGTTTACACTCCTAGCAATCAAACTGGAACAGCATACAATAAATCCCCCCCAAGAACGAGACAAAGCTCCGTGTTGAGGGTCAAGCAGTGAACAGACAAAGCTGTGGGTTTATTGTGCTTATGTACACATTCTTACACATTAGTACCACCCACAGGGTTTTGGAACACAACCAATAAACACATACAATACACTCAGACACTCCCACACAAAATCCTCCCCTCTGCCTGTGATACAATTACCTTTCACAATGTGTAATGTAATTATAACAAGCAGAGAAATGCATACTTTTCAAGTTATGAATAATGTGAAAAAAATTGTATCACATTCACATATACATTTTCAGAATCAGCATACTCCAAATACAAACATATGTCAAATTCATACAAATTGGTCCAATGGTTCAAAAGATAGATCGTAGTCCTTTGTGACCAAAGAAAGCATGGCTTTTCTGCCCAAAACCAGTTCCACAGAGTCTTCTATCCTGGAGATAATTGTGAAGTAATCCAATTATCTCCAAAGACAGAGGCAAAACTCCATTGAACACATGGCAGCAAAAGACAATAAAACACATAAAAACATATAACTGTGCAGCCATTGCACAAAACAAGTACATTAAACATATCCCCAGATAGCTCAGATCTGAGCACACACATACAGTTCAATTGCCATGGAGCCAAAGTCTTTCCCATAGTCTTTCATTATACGAATGGGCTCCATGGCATAGCTATCTGGGGTATCACCGCTCAAACAGGGCAAGCACCAAATGACCCAGCTTTCATGTCTTTGCAGGGGAAAATCAAGCCTTATAACATGGGGCCATAATCCAAAGGCAACAGGCTAGCAACCAGGCTTCTCCAATGCAATGTGGCGAGATTGGTCTCGTCACAGCCACTTTAATTGCCTTTTTGCAACCATTATTGGCTTCCTTATATCTTATATAGGATGCCTCCGATTTGTCCGATTTAAATGCTTTAACTGCCCTTTTCTTATTTTTAATCTCTTGTTTTACTTCTCTACTAAGCCACATTGGTTTCAATTTGTTTCTTTTATATTTATTACCCAATGGTACATACTGAGAAATGTACCTTTCTAATATGTGTTTGAATAGTTTCCATTAATCCTCAGTGTTTTTTACACTAAGGAGTTTATACCAGTCAATATGTTGTAGAGCTGCCCTAATCTTATTGAAATTAGCCTTTTTTGAATTATACGTTTAAGTATACCCCACTTGCTTTTGCTTTTTTGAATTTATTTCAAAAAATTACCATATTGTGATCACTATTTCCCAAATGCTCCCCTACTTGAATGTTGGTCAAAAGATCAACATTGTTTGTTATAACGAGATCCAGACAAGCATCCTTTCTAGTTGGTGCTTGTACCAGTTGTAACATAAAGGCATCATTAAACACATTCAAAAACCTGATTCTCCTTGCTGAAGTACTAGTTACTCTATCCCAATTTATGTCCGGGTAATTAAAATCTCCAATAATTAACGATTATTACGAAGACACATACATACAAACAGACAGACAGACATACAGATCTGTGTGCCTGTCTGCGTGCCTGTCTGCATACAAAAAAAACAGACAGGCACACAGACACACACACAAGATACACATACATACAAAGACACATACATACAAACAGACAGGCATACATACAGACAGATAGATAGATACATACAAACACAAATATAATATTTAAATCACCCTCTTGTTTCCTACCTTTTAAGTGCAGGTGGGTGACTTTCCCTGGGGTCCAGTGGTGGCTCAGGTTGATGGGAGTCAGAGTTCACACTCTGACTCCCTCTGCTTGCTCCCGCGTGTGCTCTCAGTGATAGTTGGGAGGAGTGACGGTGAGTCACTTCCTCCAAGTGTTTGATGATCTCATCACACGGGGCCCGGTCACACTGTTAAAGCACCGCAGTGCTGAACGGGCCCCCTGAAAATCCATCTCCATCAGGTGGCCCTAACAGCATGGGCCACCCAATGGGCATCTTAACATGCGGCCCCGGCGGTATGCCGCAAATGATGATGGCGGGCGGCCGGGCCCCCTGGAGTGACGGGCCCGGTCACAGCTGCGACCCCTGCGACCACTATATGTACGCCAGTGATTAGAGTAGATAGTTAACAAAGAATCTGTTAAAAAGTTAGAACAGATACAGCCGCTTTTGAATAACCTGTTCAAATTGTGTGATATTAACTTTTTATTAAAGTTTGTTTTTTAGTAAACTACGGAGATGATGCCAATTGAGAAGGAAGAAAAATATAGACCTGTGAGAAAACCAGACATTTTAACATGTTTATTTCTTTCAGGAAAAATACAGTTATAGAGGATCTTATTATATATTGTTATATTAATTCTTCATATTAAGGATAAACCTCTAAATTCATTCATAACAATCAGGTGGTCCAAATTCCAAATTATTTTTGTTTTTATTAGTTTAGCACAACTGCTATGTTTTATTCATTTTAATTTTTTATGCTGGATTACCAATTATAAATTCATAGATTATGTGAATTATTGCCAATGTGAGGCTTATATTTTGATAACACTGGAGAGATGTGATAGTGTAACTGTCTGTTGGTTTACAACAGTAAATATTTTTGTGTTTGTCTTTTTTTCATTTGGTTACCAACACAATTAGCCTCAAAATGGTTTTTGATTTTTTTTCTTTGAAAGGCAACAGACCATTGACAGTTTTCTTTTAGATTGCACGCTGCCAAACTGTGTATACAGTTCAATGTCTTAAGTTGATGGTAGCATTCAATCTACTTTTTTTTTCTCCATTTCCTTTGACTTTGTTGTTTTATTATGCATTGTATTGTATTTAACACTCTAAAGGGAATATAAGAAAAATAATCATTTTGTATATTTTACATTGCCTTGATTCGAGGTGGGGTGAATATTAGAATGATAATGATTATGCTTTGTTTTTTTTTTATTTATACGCTCAAGGTGGGGTATAGGTGAGGTATGTGGGCAAATTAGACAATTATTTTATATTGTCTTGAGTCAAGGTAGGGTGACAATATATGATTTTGCATTTTCTATTTGGTTATCCACAAGGGGTTAAATATGTATGGATTTAGTAAAGTTATAGTAAATTATTTTATACTGTTATGAGGATGTATTCCTTAGTACACATTAAGGTGAATGGTTGCATTGTGCTCAAATTTGTGTATACAATGTTTTAGATGACTACTTGTGAATTCAGATGGTAATGCTGAGAGACAAGGCTGATGATAAAACCACTAGTGAGTTGCATTGTAACACTGCACACTTTCTGTGCTAAGTATCTTTTAATTTCCAGAAGCCAAGGGCCTATCAATAAATTATTAAAAATCCTCAAGTGCTCAAACACAAACCCACTCCAGCTATACAATGTTTAATAAACGTGCACAAACACCTCCACTCAGATCCCCACTACAAACTGTGGCGGAACCAGCCTCACCACTGGGCATTGGAGAAGACTGTTTGCCAACCTCCTGCCCTGCGACTATGGCCCTGAGATGTATTGCCCGTCTAGGAACTGATTTGGGCATAATAGATTTTTGTTATGCTGCTGCTGGCCCTTTAAGAACCATCTGGGAACATACTGTGGAGTTACTGGGTGGCCACCATTTCATGTATCAGAGGCACATGGTGAGAACAATGGATGAAGCACATGGTGAGAACAATGGATGGCGGCCATTTTAACTCACAAAGCCTGTTTGGACTTTTCTACACGGTGCCATCTCGCCGGTATTTGGTGCACAAAGACATCGTGCAGTAGTTTTAAACTATACAACAGGGGACACATTATACAGTAATTATTTTTCATATAGCCTGTATATGTTCTGCAGAATCTGCATTAAACTGTATCTTCCAAACTACTGAGCGGATCTGGGTGAATTTTGGATATGTGGTTCACCCAGATCCCCCGGTTCCGAGGATATACTTTTTATGGGGTTATTGCATGTTTTGGGGTCCCTGTGATATGTTTTATAATACTGTATTTCTCTGCCTGTGATAATCATATTAACCATTGTGTTCATATCACAGGCAAAGGGGAGGATTTTGTGTGGGAGTGTCTGGGTGTATTGTATGGATTGATTGGTTGTATTTCAAAACCCTGTGGGCAGTACTATGTTTGTGGATTGTGAATAAAAGAGGCTGTATGTGCCAGTACAGTCAGTTCTCGTTAAGTGTCGTCTCGTTATTGGGGGAATTGGATTGAATTTTAAATATCTGTGGTTGTCAAGTAATTTGCGTCTCAGTAAAATACATAATCATTCAAAGCACACATAATATAGATACTGTATTTATTTGAGAGGGCTCATTTTCTTTTTGAAAGGTGGGCACTGTAAGAAATGGGGTGCCTTTAAAAATTATATTTTCTATTTTAAGATATTGACATATGGTTTGTGAAGGTAATTTGTGTAATAAGCTATCTGGTTTCACAATGGAATTCCATTTATATTTTAAAGGAGGTTGTCATCAACGGGTACAAAGGGTACAAATCTTTACTATAAAGGTTTCAAGGGTCATGTTATCAGGAGATCAGAAGATCAAAGTAAGTAACATCTAGGTGTAACCATGAAGTTTTTCTTTTCCCAAGCCATCCTGTCAAATCTACGCAGAAACCAACACTAACTGTTCACTTTTTACAGTGTGTTGTTGTGTAACTGGAGGGAAGAGATCAAAGAAAAGAACTTGTGTAAAGATGGAACTTTATGTGAAAAGGGGGCAGGATAAATCACTTTTGGGAGGGAAGAGGTATTCTGGGACTTGTAGTTAATGACAGCAAGAATCAATCTTTAAAAGGACAACAGTCAATGAGGTCCCTTTTTTTTCTCTCAGTGGTGCCATGGTGAACTGAGAGAGACTGTCCCAGACTTCCAAAGATGAAGGCGCAAGGGGAAGATCTTCATTTAAATGTTTAAGTATTGCCCTTTTACTATGTATTT